TCGACCGTAGAATCTGTGTCTTGCAATATTTGATTATCTTCTGCCTCTTCAGGTAGACAACAAAACGGCTGTCGAGCAAACGGTGTAAAGGGTGTAGTTTGGTTAGTGACTCTGTGACTGACTAAATCGAATGTATCATCACTATGACTATGACTCTCTTCTCTCATCAACTGCGATTGATCCTGGATATCGTTTTCTCTGTTTTCGGGAGATATTTTAACGAGCTGTTGAGGCACCTCCTCGTTGCTGTCATTTTGGTCAATGCGTTCGCTCTCAACTGATTCGTCAACGATAGAGTCCGAATTTTCCGATGTTAGATTGTTCTCTGCCATCTCAGGTGAGCGCCACGACAGCTGCAGCCAAAACGGTGTAAACCTTTCTGAGACCTTTCTTGTCAGGGGTGCAGTTTGGTAGGTGACTGGACACTTCACTTGCTCTGGTGTTTCATCGTTATGGTTATGGCTTCCTTTGCTCATTAACTCCGACTGATCCTCGCCACTATTTTCTTTGTTTTCGGTTGATCTGTTGTCTAGTTGTAGAGGGACCTCCTCGTTTCTATAATTTTGGCTAGTGTGTTCGCTGTCCAATGATTCGTTGGCATTCGAGTGCGAGTCTTCCAGTACTGGGTTTTCCTCTCCCATCTCAGGTGAGCGACACAACGGCTGCAGGTCAAACGATGTAAATCTGCCTGACGTCTTTCGTGTCAGCGGAGATGTCTGATCAGTGACTGGGCTAAAGCTGCTGAAAAGGTCTCGCTTATAATCGCCATAGCCGTTGTTTTTTTCGCAGTTTGAAACCGAGACATCTTCGTAAACAGGCTCGTCTGCTGCACGATATTCATCGTGTTTGCTGCAATCAGGCGAAGGGAAATAGCTTACGTGACTCATTGCAACAGGTTCGCCCTGAGGGCGTTGCTCTTTTTCTTGTCTGAAGGGTTCTTGACATCCAGTCCTTGATAAAACTGGTCCAGAGTTGTCCGAGAGGAAGTCTCTATTTTCGGGCTCCATTTGAATTTCACCTTTTCTTTCTTGATCGAAGTTTAGCGCCTGTTCCAACCCAAGTTCTTCGATAGATATATCGTCTAGTGTGTCTTCTCTCCCCGCGGACACTACTTCGGCATCAGTATTGTCATCGATTCTCTTTATCTGTTCGTCAGGATAGTCACATACCTTCTCCTTTTTTTTCGCGGCGTCACTGTAAGACTCTTTTTCCGATCCTACTTTAGCGGGTGCGCCTGAATCTGAAGCTATATGCTGTTTATTTTCAACTTCAGCCAATTTCTCTTCAATTTTCTCAACCTCCACTCCATTGGTGGGCAATCCAGGAAAATGAGCTGCTTGGACTTGCTTGGACTCTTTCCCATCTGAAGTCTTGTCGGTGCATGGTTTACTTTTACTCACTCTCGGTGTTTCATCGAAGTTCTCCTTCGTTGTAGTATTCGAAGCCTCCATGGGCTGATTTATACATTTAGAAGTTTCTGAGGTTCCTTCCGAAATCTTTGAAGTCTTACCTGAGAGTTTTTCAAGTTTGCGAGCAACTTTTCGCTTTTGTTTTTCGATCTTCTTTCGTTCTCTTTGTTCTAACTTCTCTCTTTTAATTGCCTTCTTTTCCAGTCTCTCCAACCGTCTTAGTTTTTTCCGCTTCTTTTCCAGCTCCTTCACACTTTTGTACTCTTTGATCTCGTGAGGCTCATATAGCACTTTGTTGTCGTCAATTTCTTCGCTGACAACAGTTTTGTTCTTCATGGTGACATGTTTGCATTTCTCCCCTTCTCTATTTTCATTTAAATTCTCATTCGGTTGTTCGTGCTCTTCTGTTGACCCGTCTTCATCAGCTGTCTCTTCTTGATATTTACGTCGTTCGGCTCTTATCTTCTCCAGTCTACGTGCGACTTTTTTCTTTTTCTTTTCCATCCTCTCTCTCCATTTTTTATCCTCGAGCTCTCGTCTTTGGCCAATCTCATCAAGGCGTTTAAGATCGTCTTTTATTTCATCCTGTCTCAGTCTCATCTCCTGTATCTCATTTGTGATGCTATCTTCCCTTGCCTGACTCTGTTTGATCTCCTCTACGATCTTGTTCATAGATTCGATAGCCTGTCTGTTTTCCTCTGCAAACTGTGCCTTGAGCCGTCTGGATTTTTCGTCCAGCTCAGCCATTTTCCTTTTGTATCCGCTGGACTCAGTGAAAGAACTACAGTCCAACTCTTCCTCGCTCAAACCACATTTGTCCACTTTGTCCTCTGTATCAAGCTCTGGTTCAAGCCTGATATTTTGTGCCGCGTTTGTCACGGCGGTGTCATCCTTCACGATGTTTTTGTTAAGGGTGATTTCTTCTCTCTTCCTGCATAAAATAAATTTATTTTGATTAACTAAATCGAAGTCTCTAATAGTCAACTCCCTCAAGGAATCTTGGTCATTAGAGTGAAGAATTCGCTTCATAAACAAAATAAACGGGTACCTAGAAAATTACAACTTTCAATATTGAGCAAAACCTTGAGGCTTTGAAAAATTTGGGATCGTTTTCTTAACCAAAAAAGGATAACGTAGGCCGCCAATTTTGCTACTATCTTGAGTCATAGAAACCTCCAAGCATCCACAGTTCGCGTTATTTACTTTAGTGTCAAATTATACCTCGTTATTTTTGGAAATATGTTCTATATCTAAGAAGTATGAAACACCAAATGAACTGTAGGTGATAAATGACAAATTGATCGCACAAAAAAAGCCTGAAAAAATTATTTTAGGCTTCGACGAGTATCGAGCCCTCGGCTTGATGCCCAGATATCATTTGTTGTGAAACAATGAGCTCAGACGCCGTAAAGGCTTGAATTCGCTCAGTTTTCCGGCTTTACTTTCTGCGATTTCTTTGTCTACAGTTTACAGTTTTTAAATGGTATCACGCGCATACACTTCTTTACTTGCCTCAAAACGTGAAATTCATAAACAAGAGTTCACTGACTGCAAATGAAAAGACTACGCAGATTCTCTTTTTCTGTGAAGTCCGTTGCACGAGTAAAAAAAAAAAAAGTCAGCGAAAAAAAATTGATGTTTGCGCGCCGCGCCGACCTCTCGAAGTCTGGCGCAAGAAGTGTAAATAAAAGAGAGAAAGACAACAACAACAAAATAAGTTATTTGAATACTAACTTGCACTCCTCTCTTAGCCATGGGGGTACGTTGGGCATTGCTTTTTCGTCGCTAGATTTTGAGTGACGTTCAAAGTCGTCGCCAAACTCACTGCCACTGAAATCTGCTTCGGCCCCAATACGGAGCTCTTCCTCGAGCACAGGTGCAACGTTACATTCAAAATCTGGCGTGACATCTTCTGTTCTGGCTGAGGATGATACCTCACCAGCTGAGCTTTCTTCTCGTGGTTCTTTCTCATCGCTGCAGACCTGTTTATTTAAAAGTAAAGTGTCAACCGGCCGAGACGAACCCGGTTGTCATGAGTCCTAATTAAGATGCACTATTCTTTTTTTTCTCACTTTTCTTCTCAGAAACGTAAATTCAAGTTACCTTCCACGTCCTCCAGAGAGACGGTGTTTATTACGGTCTTTCACCTACGTTATTTGCTCATGAAAATTTTTCTTTTCGCCGTCTCACTTCAAATCATCGATGTTTATAAGATTTACCTGTTTCGAGTCTGTCTCTAAGGGTGTAAGTTGTCGTGGTATTCGCCGCCTGACGTTTGGCATCGTTTCTTTAGCACGCCTATAACTGCCATATTTAGCTGCGGTCGAAGAAATGGTACTTGCTTTCTTCTTTTCCTCTTTTCCTTGAGTATCTTTTAGCTTAATACCTGTGATCGTATAAAAATCACTTGTTAGTTCCTCCTGAAAAAAATCACTCACTAACATGTAATTTCCTCAGAAAATGTCGTGAAGTTTTAAATGTAGGAATCTGCCTCCAGTTTGTGCAAACGAGCAGCAACTGAGCAAGTGGATTGAAACAAAACAAGATAGCTGATAAGAGCGGTATACAGCGGTCTCTCTCCTGTTTTGTTTTCGTTTTTGTTTTTGTTTTTTTTTTTGCGGCTCAAAATCTCTACATGCTGGGGCTGAACTTAAATCAGGAAATCGAGGTGAAAATAAATAAATAAAGATTTAAGAGGATGTATGAAAATGAAGAGCTGCATAAAGAAATAAACAGAATGTAATAATAAATGATGGCCACTCGTAACATTCTTTTCCACAATGATAAGAACTAAAGTTAAGAAAACTCTTACTAGTCGAATTTTATAAATCGAAAACATTAAAACAAAGTCTTTTTACAACCCTGTATAACATGGTTTCGGTAAAAATGTAATACAATTCATCTCAGTTCATCAAACCTACGGTGTATAGTATGATACAATCGACTGAGCAATTCCAGCCGTTCACCTGAAACCGTTTTCTATGATCTCTTAAATTGCCATACGTAACACTTGAATGAAAAGAATGAAGCTAGCTAGCCGCTGGAAAAAGAACATACCTGAATGTTTTCCAAGAGGTTCTTCTCCTTGTATTTTAACATACACGGGAAGATTTTCTTTAGTATCAACTTTGTTCTTCTTCTCATCCACCGCTATCGGAATCCGCGATGGCCGCTTATTTTGAAGTTTTCTGTCTGAATCTCTATGCAGAAGCGCTTTTTCATCCAAACTTCTGTCACTTTCGCCGCTCAGATGAGTCACTCTGACTGGTATTCTTGATTTCTGTCGCAGAGGTGGAAGAAGATTTTGATTGCTTTTCTTTTCGGGGTAAAGCCACGAAGCCATCACGTTTCACCCGCGGTTTTCTTTCGCCCGACTACTCAAATATAGTCTGTTTTGTTTTTTGCGTTTTGGTTTTTATAGTATTTGTTCTTTTTGCTTTGTTTTAAATAGCTTTTTTCTCAAATTAGACCGTGAAATAATCCAAATTTCCAAAGCTCCTAATCTCGATACTGACCGCACCGATAGCTGAAGCAAATGATTTTGTTTTGAGCCAAAATCCATGGAAACCATCTCTTACAAGTCTTTCGTCATATAAAGCTGGGAAACCTTCGATAGCTCGTGCACGGGAGGAATCTGATAATATATTTAATGAATACAACAGTTTTTTGTCCAAATTTTCTAACTGTGAAGACTTTGAAATTTTCCCTTCAGGAAACAGAAATATAGAGCGAAAATTGGAAAATTTACATGCAAAAAGGAACTCAACCGTTTTCCATGACACAAAGACAGCAAACAAATGTGCGGGCGAAAATCTGAACCTTTTTTTATAACTAGACAAAGCTCTATCACTTCTTGGATAAAAAAAGTCGATTTATGTTCCTTTCATAATCTAATTGCACCTTTGCAGAATTCCATTGGTTTTCTTACTCATCCACGAGTAGATCCGTCGAAGTGAGCGGAGAAGTCTTCCCTTTCATTCACCCAAAGAAAACGAGTTTGACGCTTCCCATGATTTCGGATGCTGACAACTGCGTAGATTAAGTTGATTTGGTGAAGGTAGAAATGTTAGATTTCTTCTTGGTATATTACTTACTATTTTTCGGAGATTTTTCCTAGGAGTTGGTACATTTAGGTATGAATTGTATTCTTGAAATGAAGTGATGCTAGGTTTCTTCAAAGATGCCCCAAAACATAGTTTCAGTCTCCCAGCGAATAGCTGGTTGCGTAGTAAACTTCGCAAGCAACGATAAATGTATTGAACAGCAAGGCCTCATTCGCTTTCCTCCAACAGACTTTGCACTTGTATATTTACATGTACCATCTATTTTTTCAGGAATGCGATGATAAAAAAGACATCACGTTAATAAAGAACTTTAAAAGCTACACTAAATATAATTTTATGAAGCTGATTACCTTAGGGAAAGGATGAATGCGGTGAATAAAAGGATTAACGAGGTTCCAAGAAGATAAATCCTTCCATGATCCATGATCCAGTCACTTGTTAAAACTGACCACGAAAACCAGAGACTAAAATGCCAGAGAATGAACTGTGAACTAGTGTCTGCCTCCGACGACCTTCGGACTTCTCGAATTTTTACGCGTGCCTCACACGAATTTGTCGCTGCCTCGCAGATTCATGAGCACACCTCAGCAATCTTGGTCGTAGGGATAAATGATCTCAGTGCTTTCCAATTCCAGGATTTAAGAATGCAGCAAAGACATCAATGAGGTGGTCAGAGGTTATATAATAGAAATTTTAAAAAATGTACCAAAAAAATTTATTTATATAGTTACAAAATTGTTCTACGGGTTAAATTGCGGAAGAGAGGTGTGTGTACGGAAGGGGTTATATATAAGTGCAAACGCACAATAAAGTAAAAAACACTGTTTGTTAAATTGTGCACTATAGAAACAACCCTGTGTTAAATATAGGAACCTCTTTATTCATTCTCACAACTTCTGTTGCTTATCCACAAAGTCCCACTTTATCAGATTTATTAGATTCCTGTCATCCTCTTGGTAAGTTAGGGCGTAAATAAATGAAACGGGCTATTTTAAGCAACAGCAGAAAAAAAAAATTTCATTTATAATTAAACGTACATGAGAGCTGAGAGTAGAAGATTAATAAGAAGTATTCTCCCGTCCTTGATTTCATTTCGATTAGGCCACCATTATGAATTTTCCAACCTCATTAGCTAGGAGAGAAATACTGGGACGAGTTCCAAGCACCACCATCTTGAAAACTACGGAGTATACTGTATTTCATGTTTTGGCCCAGCAATTCAGACATGAGTCGCAAACAAACTCCAAGTGACTTCCTGAAGCAAATCATAGGCCGTCCTGTCGTGGTGAAGCTCAATAATGGCGTCGATTACCGAGGTAAACGAACTTTATTTTTAGTTGAATGTACATTAATTGTTTCATGATGCGTGACATTTAGAACAACAACTTTCAAATTAATAATAAACCTTTTATGATATTTTATGATATATTGCATATATCGACGTTACCCTATTCACTTATCCCATGTTCTTTTAAGAGCTTTGGGCTCTCTTTTTTGGATTTAAATTTGGCCTTATTCATTTTATTTCAGCATGAAATTACACAAACCCTCAAATAAATAAAAAACAAAAACAAAAAGAGAGAGAAAAAAGGCAAGCTACAATTATCACTGTTTGCTAGATGCATACTATTGTTAATTTCAATAGCTTTCTTATTTCAGTATCACTCTTTGGTTCAATTCTTTTGAAAATTAATTGATTTTTTATGAAAGATTCATGCCCCTTCAGAGAAGAATTTATAAGTCTAGATTCTTTGACCCCAGAGAAGAATTTTTATTCATAGGAGAAGAAATCAGGTACTCACGCAAGGACTGCAGTCCTCCCTCTCCTTTTCTACCAAAAGAAAACAAAACTCTTCTGACAAGAGCCAGGCATTAAGGTATTCTTCTGAATAGAAACACTGCTTACCTCAAAAGATACGATATTCATTTAAGCAGAATCTCACATTTAAGCAAGTTTATCAGAAGTATTACTGTTCCTCCCTGAAGACTCAATATTTGTCAGGGAGGAGTGTCATTTTGTGATTCTTCTCTAAGGAGTTTCTATCCTTCGCTCAAGAATGGGTATTTCGTAAAGATGCTCATTATTCTTCAGAGATTGACCTTGCTTTGGTGAAGAATGAAATTCAAAATGATTTTTGCTGGGAAAATCTTTGTGCCCTTCGGAAGACTGGTTATTCTATTAAGCAGAATCTCCTGCTTTAATGGGTTGTCAGGTGAATTATCAAAACAATTTTTTTTTCTGACCAAGAAGATTACGGGCATTGAGGTTAATTATTAGAGAAAATTAAATATCTTTGTGTTGTGATAAGTTTATCATAAGCTAAATAAGACAGAGCTGGGTAATGCCTCTGCTTATCATAAACACACTTGTGATGCCTTAACAACCATTTACTAGGTAAAACAAGAGAGTGGTAATTTTGAGACAGACTATCTTAGATCTATAGCCCTAATATCCACTAAAAACCATTGTTAAGCAAATTTGTGTAGACAAGTATTTGTGAAGCTCATGCTGATGGTAGAAAAACATGGAAAAAATACATCCTTGTGATCAAACTAAAATAGGTTTGGGCTGAATTTCAGCAAATGTTCAAAGATTAAAGCTAGTGTTCCTCAGATAATTTGTGGTTCTTTAACATTGAGGACAGTCTGTGGTGATACTTTTTTACCTCATGGCATTATATCCCCTGCCTCCCCTTCTGGGTTTTCTACTGTCCCTAAGGTTGGACTATAGTCTTCTGTTCAAATATCTGGGGGGTGTGGGACAAAGGCCAAAATTTTTGCCTGAGTACTTGGAGTTATCAAGTTGAACACAATTCAAAATGACGTCTTTTATGTTGGGCCATTAGCTAAAATGATAAAGGTGTGCTTTCCTTCTTTTTGCTTCATCTTTGATCAAAATACACCTTTGTACATGTAGACCTCACAAATGAAGACCAAACTTGGTGGAGAATACTCAACTGATAGAAACAGGCTTTAAACAGTATCAAAATTGACAATGACAACAGTAGCAGCTATCAATATGGAAATATTTTAGTCATACAGTGTAAGCAATTGAAATTATTGTCTTCAGGTTGATTTTCACTCATCTGTTTGGCTGTCATTTGGCTATATTTCACATATATTTAGCAGCTGATTTGAGGTTTAGGAGATTTCATTGGATTTGACTTTTTTATTTGTTACACAATTATACTATTTTGCTCCTGTTTCTTCCACATGACTTTTATTAATCAGATATTAATGTACAGTTAAGTTTGTTTGCTTGCTCAGCAAGCTTAAATTTGGCCATCATTCTCCACACTTTTTTACTGTTCAGCCATCAATTTAACTGGCTTTTAGATAAAAGTTGTCTTGAAGCCTCATCTTTAAGATATTGTTACAAGCAGAGGCATATTTTTACTTTTAGCTTTGCAGCAAATACTTTTAAACTTACGTAGTAATCAGAAGGTGGTTTAAGGGCACGTCACAAAATATTGGAGATGGCATATGGTTAAAATTCTCATCATCTAGTTCAATAATCAAGAAATGGCATGAGGTACAGTGACATGACATGCAAGAGTGTAACATGATAGCTTTTTTCATTATGTAAATTTTTTGTTGTCTACTTGCTGCTTTTTCAAACCTAAAAGTTCTTTGTTTCACACAACAATGTAATACAAAGGAAACTTGTAGCACTAAATAACAAAGGCACATGAGTTGCATATTTTTTTCGACCATGCACACAAAAAAATTGTACATATGCATCTGACTACCCTGTGTCTGAGCGTATGAAATTCATCTGTGCAGTTAATGTATATGTGAGTGTACTGTAGCTCCAAGGAGCCTTCATTGACTCAACCCTTTAACTCCCAGAAGTGATTAACATGAAACTTCTCCCTATAATATCCATACATTATTCAGCAAACGGGTAATGAGAATATTCAAACTTATTGGGTAGAAGCTGTTATCTTGATCTAGCACCAAGTTCTCATAACTAATTTACAAGGAAATGTGTGGCAGCTAGAGGGAAGAATTATTTAGTAATTAACTATCAGATCTTGGGAGTTAAAGGGTTAACATCTATTGGTGGTTTTCACTGTCATGCAATTGAAATCTAAAGTCAAATGTATTGAATGCCTGATGCCAAGAGAGTGAGCTATTGTAGAATATTGATATATAACTTGCCCAAGTTTCAGGAATGTAGGGTTTTCAGGTGCTGAGTTATTTGCCCAAATGTCTGACACAATTTTATAGACTGAGCTCAATATGGAGACACTATGTTGGTGCTCATTCAAATGCCACATGGTGGCCATGAAGTACATTTGTAATGCAAACTTTTGTTGTCTTTTTTGGCCACGAAAATGATTGTTTATCCCCATTGAACCCACAAACATTTATCTGAACACATTTATTTTAATGCTTAGGGAACAAAATGTCACACATTAAAATTCAGTTTTCCATACAAAGCAGCTTTTCAGGCAGTTATTTCTATGTCTAATAATGAAAACTCATAAAATTGAAAAAGGTGTGATCAATTTTTGAAATAGAGAATGCACAATGCTGAAATCTCTTTCTAAAAGGAAAATGTTTAGATTTTTGTTCTTTTGGAGGTAAATCTGCAGTAATAGCCCTCATTATCTTGGATCTTTATGATGTTAGATGAAAACCAGGGATACTTGATATGTGTTGATGTGAGCAGAAAACTGTACAACTTTTCAACTTTTCGTAAAATCCACCATTTTGCCGTAATACAGTATTGCTATGGTTTCAAATGTGAGTTTGGAAAAGTTTTTGAAATGCAAGAATGTCTTTCATCTCTTTTGTTTTTTTAAAAATTTTTATGCTCTATTTACTGCCTCCCTTTATAGCTTGTTATGTAAATTAAAGTTGTATGTTTGCAGATAGACACATAAATATCACTCTCTGTGATTTCTTGCAGGAGTGCTGGCCTGTCTCGATGGTTACATGAACATTGCTCTAGAGCAAACAGAGGAGTATGCTAATGGGCAGGTAAGCAAAGTTTCATTTACATATACAAGTTCTCTTATTCAAGATAAGTGTGGCTGTAGTCCATGAACTGTTTTAGTTCATATCAATGTTTGAAGTTTGAAGTCTATTAATTCATAAATACATAGCAGTTCAAAAACTGAATTGCATATTTACATAACAAAAATTGAATTATACAAATCTAGTTATTAACTAATCAATCTTAAATATAGGTGATAAGCTGCTAAAAAAGGTATGATATCATAATACAGGCTGCAAAATTCTAAAACCCTAAACTATAAATTAGTTGCTTTGAGACATGAAGAGATAATAAAAGTGTTCTTAAAATGATCAGTTTTAAAACATGGCATGTTAAAAGATCATGCATGTCTTAATGAATAAGTAGTTTTGTGCTGTGAGGGTAATTACTTAAAAAGGTAGTAATTGTTGTCATTTACAATTGTGTCCAAAAGTGTTTCATATTTTGTCTATAATGATGAAATTAAATGAAATTCTACACATTTTTGTATTAAACCAGTTGAGTATGTTCTAGAGTAGAGGACTTGTAATCCTTTTGAAAAAGTAGCACATATCCTCAATTTCATTATATTTATAGAAATTATAGCATGATTACCAAAATAACTATCAAAATGCAAAAACATAAAGAAAAAAAGAAAATATTATACTTAATACAATTACATGGAGAGAGGATGGAGATGATACCACTGCGGGTGTGATGGCCTAATTTATTTAATCCTTTATACCTTAATATCAGTATGCATATTCTCCATACTGTTCTCAATGCATTTCTTAAGGTTCTGAAAAGGAGAATTTGTTTAACAGTCAAGAGTTCTTTAGTTGTTGATCATTTCCCTTATTCTCATGACCTTAATGTTTGATTCAGGGCTGATATTGTAGGGAGAAATTAGGTTCTGGTCTCTCATAGGGGTTAAAGAGTTAACATGGTTTTTGCTGCTTTAAATCATTATTGTAAGGGACGTCCAAAAGCAGGTTCAAATAAAGTTATTGGCAATCTGATAATTGTAAGTCAGGAGGATAAGCTAAATTAGGACCCTTCCTGAGATCACACTTGTTCTCCAGAATTCTCCATCACTTAATTAAAATTGTTATCAATTATTTTTTGATGTTAAATCCTAGGGGACTTCCTCTACCTCATCCTTCTGCCTGCACCCCCCCCCCCCCCCCCCCCCCCCCCCCCCCCCCCCCCCCCCCCCCCCCCATCTAGCTTCACATCTGTCTTCTTGTCCTAATGAGTTTTTGTCATGATCCCCTATGACTGGCAACAAGAAAAAATTTGCCCAGCTCTCATTGGCCTCCAACTCAATAACTCAATCTGCATCAAGACTTCTGAAAGTCTAACAATTTGTAGTGTTTCCCCATAGAGCTAGTGGTGAAAGGGTGAAATGTGGTAATTAACTGGATGAATGAGAACCAACTCAGTCAGTACAATGGCACTTTCAAAACATTACTGTATAAAATGAATTTGAAGCCTGTGGCTTGTTGAGGCATCCTTTCTCCAATGGGTTTTTCAATAAGAAGGGAGAGTGAATGTACCAAGAAGTAATTAACAGTCTTATAATTAACTTCTCCTTTTCATAACCATACATTATCCAGCAAACAGACAATGAGAATATTTATCAATAATCAGTGGTAGAAGTTGTCATTTTGATCTACATTGTTACACCAAATTATTAATTGTAAACTAAATTTACAAGAAAGTGTGTGGCAGCTAGAGGGGAAAATTAATAATCAGATCTTGGGAGTTAAAGAGTGAAAAAAAAGGAATTTTTTGAGTAAGGAGGAAATATTATGTGCTAAGAAATGTCTATAGACAAGTTGATAAACAAACTACTGCTTAGTTTCAACTGATATTTTTTGTTGTGCAGCATGCCAAGTAATTTTATGTGTGCATTTATTTTTCAGCTGAAAAACAAATATGGTGATGCTTTTTTGAGAGGGAACAATGGTATGTATAGTTGTAAGGATGTTATACCCCATTACACACCAAAGCTCAAACATGTTTAAAAGCGGTCATATTAACCCTTTACACCCTGACATTAATCTGCATATTCTCTATACTGTCCTCTTTAGTTTTAGATACATTTCCTAAAGTGCTTTTAAGGAGAATTTGTTTTATAATCAAGAGCTTTTTTAATTGGTGATTTGAGTGACCTAAATGTGTGATTCAGAGGTGATAACATAAGCAATTATATGCTCGTCACTCTTAGGAGCCAAAGGGTTAAAGCAAGTCTGAAATTTTGTTCTTGCTAGAAGCAGCAAAAACTTCAAATTTAGCTTATTTAAAATAAAAGTTTAACTAGAGTATGGAAAATTCAGTTTTCCAGTCCTTTGTTTCTGATTTTCATTTAGTCAAACATGTTTTGCTGGTGTGAGTGGAGTACAAGTTTGTTTAAAGGACACTCCTTAATATTGAAAGTAAAGATCTTAACAAGGGATAATACTTGTACAATAGACCATTGCCAATTTTTCGGAGGAACCGAAACAATCAAACCAGCTATCACTCTATGTTTATTTCAAAAATTGTAAAGTTTAGCTCAACACTACTTTGTGTTTTGCTTTTTTGTATCTGTCTGCTTTTCCTTTTGCTCTTTTTTCCCCCATTCTTTGAGCAGTTAGGATTTGCACTGAAATTCTTCATTCATGGTTCGTTTATACCAGCTACTTTAGTATTAGTGTGGACTTTCACACCATAACCATTTAACCCTCTCACTCCCAAGATCTCATTGGTAACTCTCCTTACTATGTGCTATTCAATTATTATGATGTTAGTTAAGAGAATTTGGTATTGGATCAACGAATAATCCCTTAATTGACATTTTTCTTTATTCTCATCACTTCTCTGCTGGATATTGTTTTGATGTTGTAAGGAGAAATTCTGCCTTGGTCACTTGTAGAAGTTAGAGGGTTAAGTAATAGGTCCGTTACTGATGTTCTGTGTTCCCTTTTCAGTGTTGTACATCAGTACACAAAAGACAAGCAGAAGATGACAACAAGGTGTACAAAAGAAAAAATCAGTCCACATGATCCCCCCAAAAAAGTTAAGATGTTAGTCTGCTCAGAATTAACTGTAAATAGCCGTTGTCTTTGTATTTTCCAATAAACTTTTATTTGCCACATGGTAGAAAGTTCTTCGTGATGTTGTTGTTTTTGTTGTACCTACGGTCGTTTTACGACAGAATTGAAGTCTGCTTAACTTTTGATATGCTCTTCTAACTGTCAATCAACACCAAGACAATCTCTCTTGATTTATCGAATACCTCTCCTTTTCCTCTTCTGATTTGTTAAATGCGCACATGTCTTTTGACCGGGTTGAAATTCGCCACCAGGACAAAAAGTCTGAAATGCTGAAGTTCGTTACTCCAAGAGTTAAGGTTAATGATTTTAGAGATTATTCTACCGTCGTCAACAGCTTAAAAGATGGAAGTGAAAGTCGAGCCTTTGTCTTTCAAAATTGTTTAGATTGAAAGAAACTGGGGCCGACACGAACGGCAGATTGGAACATGCGAGGATTGAAGGGTTTGAAATTTTACAGATTGCTACTGGTAACAGCCCTCCTCGCAAAGTTACGTAGACTCTTGATGCAGCGTTAAACATTTTTTCAGATGATCAAACGGAAATGCTGGATTTTTTCGCCAAAAAAAGCGTAACAAAGCAGTGTGTTCAGTGGACTGGTCGCGTTTGTCGGTCAAAGATGAATATCGGTCCCTTACACCGCCATTCCTCCTATTTAAATGATCAGAACACGATAGAACTCTTAAAATAGAACATGGAGTCTATTTGCTTTACATTGGACCTGAGTAGGAAGTAAGAAGCTCGTTTTAATTCACTGAAAGCGTCAAACCCGTTATCTTTGGATGAATGAAACGGGAAACCTCTCCAATCACTTCAATGGATCTACACGCAGCTGAGTAGGAAAAATAAAAAAATCTGCAAAGGTACAATTATCCTAATCCAAGAAAACCACGAAGCTTTATCCAGTTATTACAAAAGTTCAGATTTTTCGCCAGCATACTTGTTTCCCGTATTTTAGCGGCAGCTAGTGATGTGGAAAATGGTTGCAAGCCGATTTCATATTTTTGCTTGGAATGTGTATGTTAACCTGCTACTTTTCGAAGGGAAAAAACTTTCGAAGTTTTCACAGTTAGAAATCTTGGCAAAATTTTAGTGTTTATTGCATTAATAACCAGATTTCTTTAAAGTTCACCGTGCACGAGCTATCGAAGGTTTTCTAGCTCTATATGACGAAAAACTCGTAAGAGATGGTTTCCATGGATTTTGTCTCAAAACAAAATCATTTGCTTCAGCTATCGGTGCAGTCAGTATCGAGATTCGAAGCTTTGGAAAGTTGGATTACTTCACAATCTTATTTGGGAAAACTATCTGAAAGAAACAAAAAAATCAAATATCGTAGAAAACAAAACGCAACAAAAAAGTAAAAAAACAAAACACTCTTCTTGAGTAGGAGTTTACATCGAGCGAGAGAAAACCGCGGGTGAGACGCGATGGCTTCATGGCTTCACCCCGAAAAGAAAAGCAACCAAAATCAAGTTCCTCCTCTGCAACAAAAATCAAGAATACCAGTCAGAGTGACTCGCCTAAGCAGAGAGGGTAACAGAAGACCTTCGTCCGAGAACGGAGCCTATAACAAAGCGCAGCTGGAGAGAATTTCAGTAAGCAAACTTCAAAACAAGCGGCCATCGCGGATTCCGATTCCGATGGATGATAGGAAGGACAAAGTCAAAGTTGAAGTCAATCTATCCGAGAATGTCAAAACAACTCGAGAAGAAAAGTTTCTTGGAAAAAATTCAGGTATGTTTCTCAGCATTTAGCTCGCTTCACTTTTCCATTTAAGTATTGCATAAAAAACTGAAGGAATCTTAGAAAACGGTTTCAGGTGAACGGCTGCGATTACTAAATCGACTGTATCATAATATACGCCGTAGGTAAGATGAGCAGCCTTTGAGATAAATTGAATTAAATGTTTGCGGTAACCATTTTATACAGGGCTGAAGAAGACTGACTTTATTCCAATGTTCTTCGATATATTAAACCTGATGACTAAGAACTTGCTTTCAACTTATGTCCTTCTTCATTGTAGAAAAGAATGTTACCAATGTTCATTATTTATCACCACAATTCTATTTATTTATTTATTTATTGATTAAGCTCTTGATTTTATGCATATTCTGTTATTTTCATTGATTTGTTTTCACTTCGGTTTCCTGGATAAAATTCTTTCCCAAGTCGTTGAGATTTTGACCCGCAACTGGAGAGGGGCGGTTGTAGGCCGCTTAAGTCACCTGTTATCTCATTGATTTCAAACCAGTTACTTAATTGATGCTCATTTACACAAACTAGAGGCAAGTTTGTGCAGTATTAACTTCACGGCTTTTTTAAAGGAAATTGTATGATAGTCTCTGATTTTTCTAAGGAGGGAACTAATTGATAATTTTGATTTAGTCACAGGTATAAACCTGCAAGAAACTCAAGAAAAACACGGCAAGAAGAGGGCAATCTCCGTTACTTCAACTACAGCTAAATATGGCAGTTATATTCGCGCCAAGAAAACCAAGCCAAAGGTCAGGCGACGTGTACCACGACAACCTTCACCCATTGAGACAGAGCCGAAACAGGTTAATCTGAATAAGGTATATTATTTAAAGCAAGACTGCGAGAAAAGTGCTTTACGAGCAAATATCGTAAGAGGATCTGGAACTTAGTGTCGTGATCGGCCTTTGTTTCCCATCCTTATGTGAATCCAGAAATTAAGTTTCTGAGAGGAAAAGCTACTGAGTCGTAAACGGAATCGTGTATCCTAATTACGGCTTATCACTCGTGTAGATCATAATTTGTAGCTTCGTTTTTGCCCGTTTTCCCTATCATAGTGATATCCAGAAACTCAACAACTCCAACGAAAACAACGCCTTTTATTCTTAATTACACAGATTACACTTTTTACAATTACACAGGTCTGTAACGATGAGAAAGAACCACGAGAAGAACGCTCGGCTAATGAAGTATCATCCTTAGTCAGAACTGTAGAAGTCACGCCAGATTTTGAGTGTAACGTTGCACCTGTTCATGAGGAAGAACTCCATATGGGAACTGAAGCAGATTTCAGTGACAGTGGGTTTAGCTACGACTTTGAACGTCAGTCAAAATCTACAGACGAGAAGGCAATTCCCAATGTGCTCGCATGGCTAAGAAAGGAGTACAGGTGAGCGGTCACACTTTTTTTCAATTTAAAATCAGTGAAATTTACTGTAGCAATTTTATCTCTGAGGCCAGTAGAGTAGGGTATAAACGTGATACAATTTAGTGTTAAAAAAATTAAGAAAAAACAAGCAATAGTAACAGGCAGTACACAGATCTCTTTCAACCCATCCATTGATCAGAGAAGTTTTTTTTCCCAGGCTTTTCTTTTGCATTCGCCGCATTGCAGTCTACCTGTGAGGTCAATTGATCAACTATGACCCAGAGGTCGTATCTTATTTCAAGTTTGTTCGATATACTATGAGAACGTAGTTCCAGGATTGACAAGAATTGAAGCGTAAAAGTGGTTTGAGCTCTATTTTTCCAAGGTATCAGGCTTACTGCTGGAGATCTTATTTGATTAAGCGATCCCAGAGTTTTCAATTCGTAAAGGTTTTTGCTCAGTTTTAAATTTCTTATAGAGGTGATTTCCGGAGTCAACGACTTTTTGATGAAAGTTATTATGTAACCTAATGAGCAAGTTCAATGGTGGAGTTTACCAACACAGACATCGATGTAGTTGATCGATATGAATTCATTTTCCGCAGAGAGAGAGATGAAATAGACGATAACATCGTGAAAGATGACAACGCCGTCATGAGCGCGGCACAAAATAACAAACATGAACCAGAGTTTGATTCAGATAGCAAAATGGATGTCGATGAATGCAACGACTTAACAAGATACAAGCGTTCAGTTCCAGGAGTCGTAAACGTTTCTGGATATTTATTCCCACAAGAGTTGTCCAAGGCTTTGGAAACTGCTAAACCTGAAAGTAAGAAAAAGTGTACATCGCAATCGGAAGAAAAGTTTCCAGAGGAAGAACCAAAGCTCCACAAAGAAAACATCGAGATGGAATTTGAACAACTTAAAAGGGAAAACACTGAGCTCGAAACGCAGATGAGCGTCATGATTGAGGAACTTGAAAAGTACCGAAAGAAGATAGAAACTTTGCAGGTTGACCTGGATGAGAGCAAAGTTGAAGTAAAGCGACTGCAGTTTAAGGAAGAATACAAAGAAAGAGAACTGGCAAATTTGAAACGTGATCTCCAGAGCAAGGAGCAAAAATGGAAACAAGGAAACGAACACGTGGAAAAGGTTATGGCAGATATAGGAGATCTATGGGATGATGTCGATTACATGCAAGAAAGCTTAAAGAACAGTCAGGAAAGGAATGAAATTCTGACGTTTGAGGTTGATGAGCTGACGATAATGATGCAGGAAATGAAGAGAGAGTATTGGATGGAACACAATCGCGGTGGATGCGGACATTTACGAGAGGAAGTAGTGTTACTAAACGGATCCCTGGAATTGAAAGAACAGCGAATAGTTCTCTTAGAGAGCCAAGTGGACGCGTTTAAAGCAGAACGCTCTAGCTTTACAAATGCTGCACAGAGCATGGAAAGAGAAATGGAGATTCTTAATAACGAAAAGGCGACGACGAAGACGCAGTTTCATGAACGAAACCGTGAAACATCAAAGATTATTAGCGATCTTCAAGATGAAATTGCGAAGTTACAAAAAGAAAAGTCCACATTGTCCTCCGAACTATCAAAGGAATCAGGAGAAGATAACCAGCTGTGTGAGATAACGTGTGAAAAATCGTGGATTACAAGAAAACTTGAAGATCATATTACAAGGTTAAGGAGAGAGAACTGCTCTTTAACCGCAAGAGTTTCAAAGGCATACGAAAAGGATGTCCAGTTGATTGAACTGAAAGAAAAAGTGGAATTTAACAAGCATCAGTTGAAAAATTTAACTGAGGCGGCGAAGGCGTCTTTGAACAACAAAGAGAAAGAAGTGGAAGAAGCCAACCGCATTATAAAGAAACAAGACGAAACGATCAAAAATCTAATCGAAGAGATAAGGCAGGAAAGGTGTGACAGGGACCGCCTCGAAGTGCAGTCTGAAAAAATCAAAGAACTTGAGGCTCAGTTACAAAGAATGGAGGACATAAAAAGAAACACTTCAGCTGATGCCTTGGTGCTTGAGGTGAGACCAGAAAGTTCAGAAAAAGAGCATTTGAAAAAGGCTATGGAAGCTAAAGAGTGTCGTTCTCATAGAGCGAAAGAGCTTCATAAGAGAATCGGACATCTAGAGAATCAGCTACGCGAGAGGGATGACCTGATAAATGCCACTCTTACATCTCTAAACAACAATAAGAGGTCTCTAATGGAAGCTAACAACACTATCGATTTGCTAACTGAACAGCTGGAACGGGAAAAGTCGGATAAAGAAACTCTAAGAAGGGCTCTCGAAGTGTATGAGAGTAACTCCTTTGCCAAAAAAGAAATGACTGAGAAAATTGAAAAGCTAGAGGAGCAGTTACAAGAGATGGATGATCTACGAGAGAAGACTCCAAGGTCTCTTAGAGAGAAAGAAAGGTCATTGGAGGAGGCTCATGTGGAGATCAAAGAGTTAACTCAACAAATGGCACTCGAAAAGCCGGACAAAAAGTGTTTCAAGAGGAAGATCAAGGCTAGAAAGGGCATCGCTAATCGACTGAATCTCGTTCAAAAAGGGACTAAGAGAGATACACAGGGGAAGGGTTCGATAATGGCACACGTGGGAAAAAGGCTGAAGAACTTGTTACGTAAACAACAGGAAGTGAAAGGAAAAGAAATCAGTACAGGATGTGTGTTAGAAAAATCAAGGGATGATTTGAGGAGTAACCTTAACTACAGTGATAAGGAATTCTCGTCCATGCGACGGCAGCTTGAAGACAGTAAATTTGAAAATGCCGATCTCAAACAGCGTCTTGGAGAAAAGGATGGCAAAGTAAGAGCGCTAGAAACAAGTACCAAACAACTGCAAGAAGATCTTCAAAAAACGCATAAATACCTAAAAGAAAGAGAAGTCGGCCTTGATGACGTAAATGAAACCTTGCAATTGAAATGCTCGCTTCTCACAACCTTGGGAGCCGAATTATGTCTAAGGAGCAAAGAATTGACTCAAACTAACAAGGACAAAGGCTTAGAGATAACCCGTATTGAGGCCAACCTTGGAGAAGTGAAAAAAGAGTTAGATATTGCTACATCCATTGTCGAGAAGCAAAATGAACAATGTGCTAACTTTAAGACTTGTGCAATGAGAAAAACACTAGATGCAGAAGAGATGCAAAACGAATTGAGACGCTTGTCAACTCGACTTGAATGTGCTAAGAGCGAGAAGGAAAAATTTCAAAAAGCATTGTTAACTGCTACAGCACGTCTGGAAAACGAGAGATTCTTCGCAGAAAAAGAACAGAAAGCCCCACACGTGAAAGTGAACTCTAGTTTGAAAGAATTGAATACCAAAGGTAAACAATTCTGGGACACGAAGATAGACCTTCAGGGGGCTGCAGTTCCGTTACCTGCACTTGAAGATGAAAAGGCAGAGCAAGAGGAAAACTTAGCAGCCTTTCAAGGAAAATTATTACATGAACTTAACCTATTAGAGGAGACACAGTACGTGGAAAATGAAAAGGAGAGCCCGCTCCTGTTGACAATTGGCTCAGCAGAACGTGAGATGGCCAAACTGACAAGGGAGAATAGTAGGCAGTTCAGGACTGAGTTATTGCACAATGGGTTCGAAAAGCCTTCTGAGTCACCGTGTGAGGTGAGATATTTTCCTTACAAAGTGCGAGAGCAATGCGAAAGCGCGAGATGATGGATACGGAAACCACATGTTTTTGTGCTGTCACCTTTAACCTTCTGCACTTTTGGAATAAATTGACGTGCTAAAATTTTGACATGCGTAATTTTAGGCGTGTAATTAATTATTTTGTTTTCATACCATCTACAGGAAAGAACGTTTAGCACCCTGGAAATCAAGAGAGTAAAAGCTACTCCATACAAAATAACATTTTTTGACGATGGAAATTGTCAGGGAGACACTAAGCATAAATGGTCAGTAATGTTTTATCGTTTCTAAGATATAACAACATGGTTTTTAGGTAGAGCTATAACTCTCGTCATAACTGTTTTAGAATTTATCTTTTTTGTCGCCTTTCATTGTTGCTAACTCGAAGATTTCCCCGCATGAAGAAGGCTTGGTACTGATGAAGGGGGTTGATGGTCAAACAGAGCATAAAGAAGATTTTCGCCAGCGAATAGAGATCCCTTTTAGGCAGCCTTTTCTTTCACGTGAATATTCCTCGACAGTTTTATCACCGAGATAAGTAAAAAAAGCAAATTTTAAAAAATTGACCGATATTAATTTCAAAATAGGTCTTTGAGCCAGAATTTTCATTCACGAAGATATTCCTTGGCAGTTTTATCACCAAGATAAGTAAAAACAAGAAAATTTGAAAAAAATGACATATTAAATTTTGAAAATAGGTCTAGGATCCTCAGAAATCCCATAATTAACACTAACGTGATGATAACGGAATTCTCACTGTGCAAAAACTAAAATCTTATGTGCTGTTTCTTCACGTTCCCAAACCTTTAGCCTGTTACCTTTCAATGGGTTATTTAGTAATGAAAGTGTTTCTTACATTTAATCGCAGGGTGAACACCTCTGGGATGGAGAAACGTTTTGAAACGAGTGGAGATCCACATTTCAACCGCACCAGTACTGGGGCTGAGGTTGACCATTCTACGCGGAACCTCTCAGCACACAGATCACTAAATATAGTTTCAGTCCTTCACTGCAATGGTTAATGTTTTGTGGGAGAACTACATAGGCAAACTGAGCGAAGTGTGATGATATGAGATATTTACTTTTCATCATCATTGAAAAATTTATATGCAATTGTAATGTTTAAGGTTTTTCTTTTTCAAAAGGGTGTGCTTGCCTTATGTAAATAATTGACTGTATTTTCTAAGCATTCGTGCTTTGAAATTAATTTTAAATGCATTAAAATACTTTTTAAATAATTGATCTTTGTTTTTCTGTCATGGAAGGGAACAGTACAGAATTGGCGATAGAGCAATCTTATCATTACAAATCACGCGCCCTTATTTCGAATCTAAATGGATCTTCCCAAACTCCTTCCATCCTCTCAATACTCGGTTTGGAGCTGTTTGATTTTTTGAATGGATTTATGGGTTTTATTAGTGTTGCTAAGGTAATGGAAGAAAACTTTTGTGCACGGTATTCTCAGCAGAGACAAAGCAAATGCATACACCTACACAAGCAGGAGTTGGGTACCGGAAGGTCTCTTTTCGACGACAAAACTCAAAACTTACCCTTTTTCCCCTTCCTGCTGACATACATGACGCTTCCGACATTGCTGATTGTAGTTGTAGGTACATGAGCCACGTGACCTCAGTTTTAGAGCATCGGAGCCCGAAATGTAAAGGTCCGGGTTCAAGAGGGAGGGGGGGGGGGTCTTTTTAATCATGAACGAGAGAGAGGGGGAGAGCAAACATTTAGGCCTGTCATAGTTTAGAAGCGTTGTGCCTCAGCGCCTTTCCTTAATAGAATTGCTCTCCCGTCCTTGGCCGCCTTTAGAATTACACCAAATAATAAAATGGTAGACGCTTGCTGAACGAGAGCATGAACTGGGCACTATTGAGTTACCGAGTTTCTTGCAATTCAAGGGCTGGTTCTACTAATTCTGGTAAAAAATTGCTAAAATCATTATTTTGCTTAAAACATTTTGATCGATAAACTTTTTTTTTTCCCAAGGATTGCTCTTTTAGCGAAGGTTGAAAAGATTAGCAAGCTTTATTTACTTTCTGCCTCGACTGCCATGTTGAATATCCGTTGCTTTGCTTTCAGAAGTTATCCTTGATTTGCATCTTGTGACTAAACGGTATTTTCCTGATACATTGACGTAGTTTCTTGTCATTATTGATTAGACTATGCGCTATTAAATGAAATTTCCAGTAAACAACCTAAAATGAATGACATAAAGATATAATTTTCTCAGTGGTTGCTGATATGCCATATTCAAAATCACTTCATCATGGCTTCTCGCCCGCGCGTGCCAAGAAATTAAAAAAACAAAAATTTTCCTTGTAAAATTTCAAGTAAATATGGTCAGCATAATATAGAAACTTTGAAAAAATCATTGTCTCTGAAAAGAAATTTTTTTACCGTTTGAATCTACAGACTATAAAAAAAGAACCGAAGAAATAATTTTTTTCTTCGATTGCGGTTAGATGTAACAATGTAAATGACATTGATTGTTTTGGAACGGCCTCTCGCGGACGCGTACAAGAAAAAAAACAAGAATTTTACTTGCAGAAAAATCTAATGTGTGTGATCGGCGCGTTATTCAAATGAAGCTTTCTTTGGTAAAAAAATGTGTCACCCATGCAGGCCAAGGTAGAGAAATATTCATCTCGTATGCAAATGTAAAAGAAAAGCAAAGAGGTATTGCAGAGGTAGAATAGGGAATAATGAGCGTTCATTGGTGTACGCATACATTTCGCGCTTTTGAATAAAAGCTACTTGAATTCCAACAATCTTTTTTACTGTCATGCGCAGCTTAGCCGATCTGATCATTTTTGAATTTTCAACGGTGATGTTTTAGTTTATAAAACTGAGAAACTGAGTACGGACTTACGAAATATTTCATGCTGCTATTACATTTCTTGGCTGCCTCAATCATTGCTCGTAGAATACAACTAAAAATATCGTGCAGTCCCTAACAGCCAAGATGAGAGTTCCAGGAGTTTTGTCAAAAACCTTTATGGTAAAACTGCTGCGAAATGATCACACTTCGACTCTTTACTTCACCAAGATATCAAAAACTCACAACTCTAAACAACCTTAGGCTGGTGTGAACTGTTTGTTGGAATGGTTGACGCGAGAGGAGAAAGACTTTGGCGTACGACACTGGACCTCCAGGTTACAAAATGGTAAAAGAAACTACAGTATTAGATATGATAGAGTAGCAGCACGATTAAATTTTTACGCGGAAGGAACAGAAAACTAGCGTTAAGGGCAGAAAGTTCCCACAATTACTTTACGATTCAATGTTTGTCACCTCATACGTATTTATTTTCTCAAACGTTTCCTATATTTCGAATTCGATATCAATAGAAAGATTACCACCTAAATCTAATTTTATCCAAAATCACACATGGTGTATCCTGAAACACAGTGGACGTAAATAAATGACGAAACATCGTCTATCTAGACTATCACCGATGTATTCAGCATTTATAGGAAATCTATGGCTAAAATTGTGATGAATTAAAGGTTACTGATATCTAATTTTCACAATCGTTTCTTTCTTCCAATTTTTTGAAGGTTAACAGTGATAAGATAGAACCGATTCCAGTTGGAACAGAGCCACTGAATGTGTGCGTGATCACAAAAGCGGACACTCCTCATACGAAAAGAAAGCGACCGAGGTTAATGTTCCTGGTCATTCGGATAAGATCTTCAGTCTGCTATTTATTTCATCGTGGATTGTTGGAAGTTATGAACTGCAAGAGAGAGAGAGAGATTGGGACTCGATGTACCGCACAAGTGCTCCTGAAGAAAGCTAAAAGGACTCAAAAGTAAGTTTTTTTTAAAGGAGAAACTAGCTTCAGAAACGGTGTAAATTTTATCTCTGCAAAAAAAGAGAAATACATGCCAAAAAAATTTGCTCTTAATTGCGTTTGGAAGTTCGAAAAAGTAACCTATTCGTTCTAAATTTGTCTTTAAATTTGCCAAATATTCTGCTCCTAAGTTATGAAATATGGATACCTCTAAGGTTGCAGTGGAGACATTATTTGTAATTAAATTTTTCTATTTATAATGATGGAGGACTGCAATTTATATCGGTGGCGATTATGCAATATATATATATATATATATATATGTACAGACTTCAATCTCCGTTGTGCCTCCCAATCAAACTCTGTATGTACACATTGCCGTAAGCGGACAATCTCTCTTAAGCGGAAGCGGACACTATGGAGAACGAAATTTGAATTCTTTTTCTTTTGTTCACGCGCTCTCTTGGGCGGACACCCCATGCAAAGTGATTGACTCTCAGCAGTGAAATCTGTCTTTAATTTGCAAATCAACAACGAAAAAAACCTTTGACAGTACAATAGAACAGTGGGGATCGGTTTTGTCAAGTCTCCATTTGTCCGTAGGAAAGCAACCTATTCGTTCGTTTGACTTTAACACTTCCCCGTAAGCACTTCTACCCTATTTTTCTCAAGTGTCCACACGCATGATTCACATAGGAGGAAAATTCTACCAACGGACACTTTTTTCAATTGGCGAGGGTGTCCGCTTACAAGGCAGTGGATTGTGTACATTACCTGAGAAAAAGAAAAAATGAAAAAAGAAAAGCGTTAAAACCCTTTTTCGGTTAGTACAAGATAGTGTGCAAAGAAAAGACAAAACAAAACATTTTCATGAGTTAACCTTAGTTGAACCTTATTGATCAAATGAAGCATCGTATGAACTGACAAAAATAAACGTTGCTGCTGAACGTATTTTCCCTCAGTTTCTACTTCTTTGCAATTTATTCATACAGTTCATCTAAAGAAGCCTCTGTGGTCTTTCTAATTTTAATTTTGATTTTTTAAAACAGAGGGAAAGAGAGTTTTACAGATTGCAAGTTTGTTATGGAAGTGTATCAGCACACGTCATTTACTTCAAACAATCTTCTTTTTCAGCTTGAGGATCGACTCAGTAAGAGGCATTTCAATCCTTACGGACAAATTGGATCACGGAACGCTAACGGTACCATATATAGGATAGACACAGAGAAAAGAAATACAATCTGAGTCCCTTGTGAGGATTCAAACCTCAAGCAGTCAGCCCAAATAAGACGATCCCAGCTGGGTGGAGGGTTTCGTACACTCCACTCAGTGCTTGTTTATTTTCGCGTCCAGAGGAGAGGTGCAGTGCAGATTGCCCATACTTCGGTCTCACCCTCTGGTACCTCGGCGTAAGCTCGTATCAATTTTGTTTTATGTTTTTTATTTTTACTTTCCTTTTTTTTTGGATACGAGCAATGAGCCGTTAAATAGGTCTCAAACCCGGAGGCCAGACCCATTTCAGGTGTCGGCTGTAACCGCCCGAGGACTGTGTCTGTATTCAAGCGGGGATTGTGTTTATTCTTTTTCTCCGGTACATTGACAGTCAAAGTGAAAAGAATACAAACAAGTATAGCCGGTTTGGAGAGTATCTTCTACTAAACTAAAAAAAATGATGGCATTTTCAGAACACAATAATGGCGACTGAAGCTTCTAGAGCTTAGCTTGAAAGGGGCCACAATAACTAATTGAAACATTGCGCATTGCCTGAGAAACTGGTTCAACCTGCGTAAGGATTCAAACCTTAGACCTTAATAATTCGCCATCTGCTCTAACAGCTGGGCAGAAGAAGAAATTTGGGTCAACCTTTGTGAGGATTCAAACCTCATTTTATTCAAAATCGCTACGAAATGCTCATACGGCAGAGTAGAGAGACACTTCTGGATAAACTCACGTGGGGATTCAAACCTCAGACTTTGCAATATCGGTATCAAATGCTCTACCAGCAGAGCTAAGAAAAAATATATGTCGACCTCTATAAAAAATTACAGTCACGTTAAACGTGTCAAAATAAAAATTCTGGTCGACTTTCATGAGGGTTCAAACCTCAGATCTACCGATTTTGCTCTCAGTGACTACAAGGATTCAAACCTTAGACCTTAAAACTTCACCATCTGCTCTACCAGCCAGGCAGAAGAAGAAATTTGGGTGGACCACACGTGAGGATTCAAACCTCATTCATACACAATGTTCTTACAGCAGAGTAGAAAGATTAATTTTTTAGAGTAAACTCATGTGAGGACGCAAACCTCAGAATTTGCAATATCGGTATCAAATGTTCTATCAGCTGAGCTGAGCTGAGAACAAAAATATGTGCCAATCTCTTTAAGGAATTAAAGTCATGTTAAACGCGTGAAATGAAAATTCTGGTTAACTTT